AGAATACTGAAAAAGAGTTAAACTGTTACCCTTTGTAACTGTAAAAAGAATTAAGATAGCTAAGGAACCAAGCAGAAATAGAGGATGAGATGGCAACTGAAGATGAATATAGAAAGTATCTACAAGGTTTTATTATTAATTTTTTTTTCTTTTTGTTTCTAATTTTAAAATAAATGACATTTGGTTCTAGAAACACTTTCAACTCAGTAGCTGCTGTGCATGGAAAAGAAGGAAATAAAGAAGCCTAAACTTAATACCTGGAGAGACACAGGAGTTACTAGAAGATATAGGTTCCAGAGTGAATCATGACATTTCCCTGAAAGATAGGCAAAGACCTAAAAGAAAGACTCATATAAAAGAGATTCAGAAGGACTGAAAGGGGAAAGAGCTGCAGTTGTCCCACTAACCCTGAGAGATATTGAAGGAAACACCAAAACCTGTCCTAAAGAAAATACTGAGAAGCAGTGGAACTTGGGATTTTGTAATGATATAAAACTACTTGAGTCAGTCATTAAAAATAACTTTAAAGGCCAACATGACTATTAGTAGTGAATCATAAGAACTGATGGGTTTTACCATACAGGAATAAAAATCTAAGGCTGAAGCTGAGAAGAATCATAGAATCAAAAAGAACAACTGATGGACATATTTTGTTTTGCAAAAATACTTGTCATGCTATAAAGACAGAGGGTCATAGAATAGGCCAAAATATTTAATACTGCAGAATACCCTACAAAACATTTAAGGATACAAATTTTTTTTAACAGATATTTTTCGTATTATAAAACAAACACAGATACAGTATAAAATAGGAAAGAGTAGTTTGAAATTTATCAAATACAGACTAGTCAATATTTATATGCATTAACTAGGGAAATACTGAAGATGTCAGACACATTTAGAATAAAAATGAAGCTTTATAAAATTTCTAAATTTATATTAAAATTTAGCACTAACATTACTGCAATTTAAACCAGAACTCAAAAATAAAAAAGCTGTATATTCAGTGGTGCAGATCTGAATCATAGATTCATAGAATGGTTTGATTTGGAAAGGACCTGAAGGATCATTTTATTCCCTGAACACTTCCAGGGATGAGGCATCCACAGCTTCTCTGGGCAACCTGCCCCTGTGCCTCACCACCCTCACAGTGAAGAATTTCTTCCCAGTATCTAATCTAAATCGACAGTCTTTCAGTTTAAAGCTGTTATCTCCTATCTTTTACCTATCTAAAGGGCAAAAACACCTGCTACCATCAGAAGTACTGCCAGATCTTGATACTTGGTCCTCTAGTGGGGTCAGCCTTCTTCTTCTCTGCTGTAAGAATATCTTGCTGGATTTTCCACCACTGTGTGTAGACCAGAATATGGTCTGACTACATGGTTTAAATTGCTGCACACAGCTTATGATACACCAATGCTGACCTGTGTGACTTTGCTTTTTCTTTTCTTTATTCCCAGGAGCTGCATTAGACCTTCCCGCGCATATTACCAGAGGAACTGTGTCAGGTATCAACAACAACAATCAAAGAAATAGCTAAGGAACATTAGCGGAAGTCTAGCCGTACAGTTAACATATTAAAGACAAAGATGTACATGAAATGAAGGGAAATAAATCTCCACTAAATTGACTCAGCTTTTCATAACAGTGCAACCTAGACTCTTCCCAGTACTTTGTCATAAGGACGGTTCTCTTACTTTAGGAATAAATTTTGGAGCCTGTACTATCCCAGATTAATGGCTGAATCCGTACTATTATCATTACAGCCAAAAAACCCAGTAGCTGGATAAAACTACATTAAGGTGATGAAACATTTTGTGGAGCTAACTTGCAACTAGTGCTATGTTTAGTCAAATTAAAAGAGCAGGAACATAATTACTGGTATAAAATGCAAGAACAAATGTACTCATTACTGTGTAGCTGTGGGTGAAAACAGGACTTGAAGTACCCTCTACAGCTGAGGTTGCCTGAAGCTTCAAATCAGAAGACACAGTTTCAGTATTTGTAACATTTCAAAGCTCTTTGCTGTTCTGGCTACAATATTCTACACCAGATTTCTTGACTCCTGCTGAATCTCAATTAGAAAGTTTCAGGTAAAAATATTTTAATTTGTAGAGGAGAAGAGTTAATGAGTATGTGTCCATATAATATGAAACTTCTTACAACAGGCTGGGGAGAACTCGTTGCCTGAGATGCTGTTTATCACGACAAGACCTGAATTTGCTTACTAGCATGCTTATGTTCATTTGTTAGTGTGGAGATAAAATCAAGTAAAAACCAACATTGGAGGGTGTACTTAAAAACTGTGTTATAGACAAGAACTTTGCCATCTGAAACACAAGTCTGATGAAAAAAGGAAATGTAAATCCATAATAATTCAGACTGAAAAAACATAGAGAAAGAACAAGGCAAAATGATGTGCAAGTGGTGTTAAAAATGTGGTTCTAGGCTAGAAGAACAAAATCATGCTCAGCTTTTGAGCCTAAGGCCATCTTCCAATATTGCCTTCAAAAATGTCTGATATGTATTTCAAAATATTACCATTCTTGCTTGTATTTTATATTCCGAATGATGGGAGAAAAGATGGTAGAGGAGTTAGATAAAAAAATTAAGTGTCTTTTGAAATATAAATACCTATAGATAATGACCTAAATATCAGAAGCAACAAAGTAACATTTTTTTCAAGAAATAAGCAAAGCCAAACCAAACCAAAGACTTTTATTTTACCCAAATAACCAGAGAAATCTGGGGTTTTAAGTCAGAATCTTCAAAAGTATTAGAAAATAGTTTTTTAAAAAAATGCATGGTGCTTAGTATTGAGTGATACATTTATTTTATCAGTTTAAATTAAACTAATTAGAGTAATGACATATATAGGTAGATGAAGTACAGTTCTGCTAAGACTAAGATGTCTGCTAAGACAGTTGCCTAATAAGAAAAATATTCTCCTTGGTTTCCCATTTGAAATACTTGTTTGTTTGTTTGTTTGTTCTGTTTTGTTTTATCTTGCAAAACTTTGAAGCAATATGGTGTAAACAAGTATTTTCAGATATCCTTCTTTTATTTCTAAGGCAAATAAAGATGTATTTGTATGTTTAGAACTGTCATTCTCATCTGCACAGGTGTTAAATCCATGGTTTTGTTAAACATTGAGATTTCTATCTGAATGTTGCTTGAAGTCTTCCTGTGATCTTTCTGCCAGGTTCTGCTTCAACTTTAATAAACAAATATAGCTCAGAGAATTCAATGTGCAGATGACTCATTTTGTTGTAAAACTGTTTATAGTGAACTGATTTGAATTAATTCTGGAATAATCTCACTGCCTGTTGCAGCACAGCCATATACTGCCTTCTCATCCCAGATGTACTTCACCCCCAGGACAATGAGTATTTCTGGAACTAAACAGCCTAAGCTCCTTTGATCCTTTTATTAGCAAATCTACTTGCTGGTTGTATAAAAAGGAGGTGAATGAGACCAATTTGGAAATTACAGTGTAATGACAGAATTTTAATGTAAGGAAAGCTTATGCTGGTTTATGTGGAAGAAGAATCAGAAGGCTTACTAGCATGTTATTTGGGACCACTCAGTGCACGGGTCATAAAATACAGTACAAGGCAGATTGACGCTTGTGCACACCCCTCTCAGGCAGTGAGCATCCATGTACTGTTCTACCTGCGAGATTACTTTCTGTAGAAAATATGTCTACACAAACAACAAATTTCTGGTCTTTTTTTTTTTTTTTTCTTTAAAAGGAAAATGTGATCACTTGTGAAAATAACTGTAATTTAAAGATATCAGAGTAGTTCAGTATTTTGACAAACAATTCTTTTGAACACCATGGTGTAGTCCTTTATACATATTTGCTTTGTGAAAAGAGTATTAATTTTAACAGAAAACACTGTTTACTTGAAAAGCTGCTTATTCTAAGTTTTAACTGTAATGTGAAGATAAAAAGAGTGACACACAAGGCACATGTATATATTGAAGTACTTCTGTAGTCTTTTTCACTCTCCCCGGTGTAGATGAAGAACTAAATTAATCTTTTATTCTTTTGATTCGTGCTCATTGAGTGAACTCATTATTTACAAGAAAGCAGACCTTTTAAGGAGCTTCCATTTTAGCACATTTCTTCTTAGATTTAAAGATGTAATTTCAAAAATTCTGACACTTAAGTTTCCTCTAGAACTTGATCCATTTGAGCTTTACTACCTGATGGTTTTGCTTTTAGGTAGTTGAAACCTGATTATTTAGATTCACTTACAGGGATCAAAGTAGGATGACTAATTTTCTATCTTCAAAAATTTATTTTCTTCCCCCTATGACTATCTTTGGCTTTTTTGGTCCTGAAATGTCATTTATCTGACAGGACTCATAAAAAGTAACCTCCATTGGTTCAGAGGTTATTTTGGCTATTTTCTCGAATACTGTAGATATAGGTCCCAAACCCCCGATCATTCGAAAGCACCCACTTTTAATTTGTATTCTCCCTGTTCTGTTCAGCAAAAGTTGTACTGTTAAACGCCTGGCTGCAAACTTTTTGGGGAAAGTTATATACAGGTGGCCAAATTCTCAATGGTGTTAAGAAGTGTCTTTTGAAATGAAACCAAAAAGTATGCTACAGAAAGGTATGGCTCACTGTACACCAAAAGATTCCTTTTGCTTGTTTGTTTCATGGAATGTAATGCCTTGTTCTGAAATCATCCTGCTGGTATTATTTTAATTAAAAAAAGACACTTTAGATAGCATTAAGCATCCAAAAATGCAGTGATGGGACTACTAATCCAGCATGCTGTGATGAGGAAACTTTTTGTTTGCTTGCTTGTTTTGTTTGTTTGTTTTTCAAATACGAGAGTGGCAAACGCCCATATCTGGCGGGTCTGCCTGGCCGTGGTTTGCATTCTGCGCCCACCGCTGCCGAATGGCAGAGCCGGTGACGAGGCCGGTATTTTCTGCAGCGCTTACTGTACCTGCAGGAGCAAATCCTACTGAACCTTTCCTTCACAAGATTTCCGCGGCTTGGGGACGATGCCTGCCTGGCCAGAGACTCACTTCACGTTCCCACCTTCACACAGGGGTCTGGGTGTTCACCGATCCCAAAGGAGACCGCAAATACCACAGCGCAGGCACCCCCTATCCTCGCTCTCCGCGGCGACCTCCAGAGCCGTTTGTCCTCCAAGCCTCTCGTACGGTGTGACCGTCTCCAGTGCAGAAAACAGATGGGGAGGGGGGCAAGATAAGCCCCCTCCCGCTATGTCCTCATGTGCATTGCCGCACGTATACATAGCCGAGCCGCCGCTCCCCTTTGCACCTCGCTTCGCGCTGCCCGCCGCCACCGAGGGGACAGCCAGGGTGGGGGGCCTAGGGAGGCAAACTTTCCGCCCGGCTGGGCCAAGGTGAGGGTTTCGTCCTTCCTTTAGCTTCAACGTCAGCGCTGCAGCTCCATCCTCCCTCGGTCGCGCCACTCTGAGTGGAGGGCGGCGCGGCGGAACCCTGCGCTCGTTCCCGGCGGCAGGGGCTCCGCTCCGGCGCGCCCCGCACCGGAGAGTAGGCGCCGGGCTCCGGCGTGCTCTGCTGCCGGCACCGCCTCCGCCGCAGAAGAAGGATGGAGCCGGGCAAGGAGCCCCGGCTGACCACCGGAGGAAAGCCCAGCGAATCTGAGTCGGCGATATCCTTCCAGGCCCGGCTGTGGAAGAACCTGCAGCTGGGGGGTAAGGGCCGGAGCGGCGGCGGGCGGGCAGGAGCCGAGCGCCGCACTGCGGAGCCCCCCGCTCCGCCGCCGCCGACCAGCGGCAAGGGGGACCTGCCAGCCGGCGCAAAGTGGAGCGGCTTCAAGCGACGGCGGCAAGTGCTGGACCGCGTCTTTTCGTCCTCCCAGCCCAATCTCTGCTGCTCGGCGGCCGAGCCGCTGGAGCCGGACGGCGAGTCCGGCTCCGCCCTGCGCCGCCTGCGGGAGCACCTGCTCCCCCAGGGCAAGGGGCCGCCGTCCGGCAGCCGGGTCGTGCCCGCCGTCGGCGATGAGGGGCAGGCGGGTGGCAAGGAGGGGCGCCGGCCTGGGGCGCACCTGTCCCACCAGAAGAGCTCCTCGTTGCCCAGCACCGCTTGCCTGGAGCAGCTGCTGCAGGGCTCGCCCACCGTCGGCAGGAGACAGGAGCAGCGGGCGGAGGACGGCGATGGTGGCGGGGTGAGTGTTGGCCCCGTAGCCCTTCGTGGGGCTGCCCTGGTGGCCCTGTACGTACTGGGCCGAGGTGGAGGGGCCGGCGGGATGGAAGGTCCCGGGGAGGGCAGGCGAGACGAGGCAAGGTGAAGCGGGAAGGGCGGCCGGCTGCTGGGTAAGGGAGCTGAGGAGAGAGGAGGTCAGAGGACGGCCAGCGCTGGGTGTCAGACCCCCGACCGCTCGCTTGCCAGTGGGGCTGTCCTTCGCCTGAGAGGGGGAACGGCCAGGGGTCCGCCCGCCTCGGAGCCCTGCACTGCTCTGCACGTCGTGATAGGCCGTGCGGTGGAGCCATCCCGAGCTGCGAGCGCAGCGCTGCCGGGGGTGCTTGTGCACCGGAGCAGGAGCTACTTCCCTCAGACATTCCTTTTTATAAACCACGCAGAGGAAGGTTGGTTGGAGGGGGAGTTGGGGTTCCCTCGCTCTCACGCCTTTCCCCGGAGCCACCTCTCACCTCTCCGAGGGCTCTCTCTGCTGCTGTCCGCTCTTGACACATGAAGCACGGCTTTTCCTAGGCAGCCTCTGCTTTTTTCCTTTCGCCTGGTTATCCAACTTTGAATTATTAGATCTTTAAATTTCTGCAGGACACTCAAACGATGATCATTAGCACACATTTAACAGACGGTAGAACGTACTAGGTACCATCATACGCAGCTGGTCTCTTCAGTCTGATGAGACACTCGTTCTTCCCTGCTTGTTGAGGCAAGGAGGTGAAAAAAGTCGGAGGTCATCCGACTGTTAGTTTTGAACAGATGTTCATAGGGGCTGCTAAATCTTGCCATAAATTTCCTGCAACAAAACTGCAAAGCATATGAGTATTTCTGGAGTTTGTGTAATTCGAAACAGTCATCCACTTTTCTTCAGGAATAATTGACTAATACCTATTGTTATAAAATGTTTTCTGGCATACTTAGGGAGAAATTAGTAGCTGAAGTAAAAGGTGTGTTGTCAAAAATAAGCGGTATGCGTACCTGCGCTTGGCTGCGTACCTCTGCTTGGGGTCTAGAGTGATGGTAGTTCTGTGATGATTTGCAAATGTCCCTTGATGTCAATGGGACTTTCATGTGTGCCTGCAGAGTTCAGAGGAATTCATCTTTACAAACATGGGACCTAACTTTATGTCTGAATCTTACAGGGTTACTTTAGTGATAGTCATCATCCTGACTGTAATGTAATGGCCAGTCTTTGCGGTTTCCTTGTATAATGCTTGTAAATGTTTTACATCATTGCTTATTGATGTGGGATTATCATGACAAGTGTCTGCAAAGTGGGCAGTTCCCTGCAGTAGTTAGTCCCTTCCTCCCACGCCCCTGGCTCACAAAAATTTCATGCACATTTTAGTATTATTGTTTGAGACTACATGATATAATTCTGCTTTAAAGACTGCTACATCTAACAAATAGACAAATATGAAAATGTGGGGTTGTCTTTACACAGAATATGCTGAGTTAGAAGGAACCCACAAGGATCATCAAGTCCATCCCTTAGTACTGCACAGGACCATCCCCAAGAGTCACACCATGTGCCTGAGAGTATCGTCCAAACACTCCTTAAACTCTGTCAGGCTTGGTGCTGTGACCAGTGCTCTGGGGAGCCTGTTCCAGTGCCTAACCACCCTCTGGGTGAAGCACTTTTTTTTATATCCAATCTAAACCTCCACTGACACAACTTTAGGCCATTCCCTTGGGTCCTGTCACTGGTCACCACAGAGAAGAGATGAGTGCCTACCCCTCCTCTTCCACTCACAAGGAAGTTGTAGACTGCAATGAGGTCTCCCCTCAGTCTTCTCCAGACTGAACGGACCAAGTGACCTCAGTCACTCCTCATATGGCTTCCCCTCAATGCCCTTCCCCCTCTTTGTTGCCCTCCTTTGGACACTCTCTCATGGCTTAATATCTTTCTTATATCGTGGTGCCCAAAACTGCCACAATATTCAAGGTGAGGCCACACCAGTGCAGAGCAAATCGGGACAGTCCCCTCCCTCGCCTGGCAGGCAGTGTTTTGCCTGATGCTCCCCCAGGACACAGTTGGCCTTCCTGGCTGCCAGGGCACTGCTGACTCATATTCAACTGGCCATCAACCAGGACTCCCAGATCGCTTTCCGCAAAGCTGCTTTCCAGCATCTCATTCTCCAGTCTGTATGTACATCCAGGGTTGCCCCAACCCAGGTGCAGAATTTGCCCCTTTTCTTTGTAGAATTTCATATGGTTGGTGACTGCCCAGTCCTCTAATTTCTGCTGTTGCTTTCAGCAAAGAAATGGCATGTTTATTTACAAAACCAGGTCAATTGCTATTTAGTTGTGAGGGCACTGGTCTTGTTTTAAACAAGTTACAGTCAACATTTGGAAAGAATACTGCTAAATCAAATCAAAGTGGAACCCAGGCTATCTAACACTTGTCTTTAATTAGCAGGATTATAGTCAGTTCCTCCAATTATTAATGGTATTAATATGGGCTGTGCCTGCATACCAAACCTTCTGGTTTTATTAAATAAAGCTTGTGTGTTTGTGAAGTTTGCAGAGCTGCTGATCCTGTTTGTTTTGGAGGGATGATTTCAAATACAGTAACTGTTCTGATATTGCATAATGAGCACATCCACTGCTGTTCTCATCTCTAGAGGTGTAATCTCACTTGATTTAATTCAGTGGCTTCATTGAGCCATGGGATAGTTCTGGAAATGAGACTGTGACTATAAAGGTGTAAATGCCATGACTAAGGTAAGGCAGGACAAAGAAATAAACACATGTGCAATTAAACATCATCTTTTCCCAGCTTCTCCTTGACCAAACCTTCTGTAGCTTTCCATGTGGCATCCAATTACCTTCATGTAACTGAGAGCTGCCAGATGTGTGCTGCATCTTTGAGGGAGTGGGAGGGGGACCATGGAAGCCTCCTAGGGTGTCCCATGGGCAGGAGATTATAAGAACTCTCCAGGGGTAATGCTTCACAGTGCTTCCAGTGTCTGAGTGTGCTATCATGCCCCAAGGCAGTGAGGCAAGAGTCCCTTATAATTTGCATCTTCTTGTCAGCTGAGCTTGAATTTATCCAACAATGCCTGTACCAACATGGCCTTTCTCTGGAATGTGAGACATAGCTTTGCATGGAAAGTTTTATGCCATTTGCATTTTGTCATAGTAGTGTAGTGAAAACTAGGAGGCTGGAAATATCCTTATCTGTTAAGATTTGCAGCAATAAAAACCCTAAAAGTGTTTCACAGCCTGAATCGGAGAACATAGGTATGGGCATATGTTGTTTTGAATCAACAGTGAACATGAGGAGGGCTTAGGGAGAGGATATCTGACTGAAGGGGCATCCGGGCTCCAGTGTGGCTGCCACAGTGAGAGCTCTTGTGGGCACTTTTCTCCACTGGATTTTCTTGCAAGATAATGCTCTGGCAACAACAAATCCTGTGACTTCTTAAAGCATGTTCAGGTTGAGCCATTAAGTTGAAAGAGTGGACAAATCCTTAACCCCTTCCCTCAATGTCTTTTTCCAGTTTTGTTTTGTGTAAGTAAAATTGGAGTTGTGGCAGGGCTCAGGGAAGAGATGGGATGCAGAGGGAAGAGTAGGGGCTGACTAGAGCTGCTTTTTAGCCTCTAGATTCTTAGCCATAGTAAATCAAAGGTCATTGGTTTTGTGAACAGAGACTATTTGTTTCATTAATAAACATCCTGCAGACCTACATTTGTGGGTCTTCAGAGCCAGAGATTGGAAAACAATGGTCTAGATTATGTAACAAAGACTGATGCAAAGGAGAGATTAGACGAAGTAAAAAAACTAGACAGATACATCCAGGTACAGTGTCTCTCCCATTCTTGCAATAATGTATAACTTGGTCAATAGAGTTTGTGTAAGAAGGTGGGCTGTGGGTAGGGCACATGGGAAGGATCTGCAGAAAAAAGGAGAATTTAATGGGCTAGGTTGTATGAGGAGAGGTTGTACTTTCAAGGCAAGGTACATGGTGTTGTATTCGAATGCTGGGAAAGAGAATGGGAATAGCGATGAAAAAGGAGCAGAGGTTGAGCTGTGAGGAAGCCTGAAGATAAGAGAATTATGAATTTGGTGTGAAAGGGCATGTAGAGCCAATGCAAAACAGACTGGCATACCATACACATTTCTCTGCCTCTACCAAATAAATCTATGTCTGGCTTAGAGCCATTTGAGTTAGTGAAGAAACACAAGGGAAAACTTTGGCTTGTTGGTTATAATTGACATTTGTCACAGGTCACGACTGAGTAATTGATCCAGCCAGTGGAGGAAAAAGAACAAAATAAACTCAAAAGGCTGAAAACATCAATGAAAAGTTACACAGATAATATCACCCAAGAGAATTTTAATTGCTACCTTAGCTAATTTTATTGAGAAAGATGGCAGTGGTGAGGAAATCTGAAAACTGCTGACTGAAAGTGTTACCTTTTCCTGTCATAACGCCAATACAAAATAGAAAGAGTTGTAGAGAACTAATTTGCACAGGTATTTGGAGTATGATTTGAGAGCAGCATAATTCTGAAAATTAGGAGGGCAATATTTGAGACAACACCAGAAGGCTTTCACAGGGATTGAGTAGATAAATAAATGTCAGAAGACTGTGGAGCTCATGAAATTACATAGAAATAGCAACCATGAGTAAAAAGCTGTTGCTAATGATCATTTCTTTTTAAGAAAACTGTAGCAGCTGATCAAAGCTGTTTCTCCAAGAGTTGAATTAGACAATTGATTTTATCAAGGTATGTTCTGCATTGCCCTATTTTGTCATTGTACTGACTTCTAATAAAAGATTTATCTTTCAGCAGCTTGAGATATGTTAATCTGTTTCCTACACTCTGTAAGCATCTGGCCAGTCTGTCAACTTACAGTATGTGAGTAGACTGTATGTATATTACTGACATGGAAACCAAGATATGGTGCAACAGAATTGTAATTTTTGCTTAATTAACTAAAGAAGATCTGCAGAGCTTTCAAAGTGAGCTGTATAATTTTTCAGAATTCACTAGTTTGCATTTATCCTTATGTGAAATATTTAGGTGTTTTAAAGTGAACTAATAGCAGCAGTTGACTTACCGTTTATCCATGACCTCATTTAAGCTTTATTTTCTTTCCCCCCCTGCATTTACTGCTTATATATGAAGGTGTCCTTTCTTAGTGGTTTTTTTTTTTTTTTTTTTTTTTTTTTTTTTTTTTTTTTTTTTTTTT